TTATATATATATATATATCTTATATATATATATATATATATATCTTATATATATATATATGTGCGTGTGTATATATATGTGTGTGTGTAGAAATGTATATATATATATAAATGTGTGTGTGTGTGTAGAAATGTATGCTAATGGATATACGTATTCAAATGTCTATATCTTTTTGTATATATATATATTCATTTAAATTTCACTATGGTGTGCATTAGTTTGTGTATTTTCTTTCAAGGCTCAGGTTTCTTTGTGTTCAAGTGTATGGGTTGATATGCTCGGATTTTTTTTTGCCCTTTTTTTCAGGGGTTTTTTTCACTTTAATATAAGTATCACTGGATATACCAGTGCAAGGTTATTCAACTCAACAGAGAGCATAATGTTTGTCTTTACTTTCTTCCTCCATTGCATTGGCAGAGAGCTACATTCCTGGGTCGCCAAGGCACGAGTCCACATTTTTAACGAAATGCCACGATTTACAAATATGTTCAAAGGACTACCGAGCCTAAATTCACTGTTGGTGTATGTATTGCTTGTTTTTGTGCTCGATTTTCCTCCTACTGGCCCTTGTCCGCCCGAAATCTGCTAGACATTCAAGTGACGTATACGAGCTGATCCATCCTTTGTGGTCCCGTCAATGTACGGTCTAAGCTTGTAGTGCGTGTGAGATTAATCTGATCTCCAATTGTGTATGTGAGCGTTCACTTAGTGTTTACGCATACTTGCAGATGTCAGTTTAGACCCACTGCTGTGCGAAACTCTCGCCATAGCGAATTTGTTTCTATTAAACTGCAGTTTAAGCTATTTTTAAACGTGTCGGTCATGGGCATCCCGGTTCGATTGATGCAGCCTTGGCACAGGGGCCAGCGGAATATTCCTGGCTGGTGGCTACTACTTCTCCATGCAAGAAAAGTATGAGCGCTTAATCGAGAAAATCCAACTACAACTGGAGCGGGAGAGGATGACAAGAGTACGTTACGTTGATCTGTCTACAATGAATTAAAATGTATATTCTCCGAAGATAGAGGACTTTCCGACTTTTCTAAACGCATTGTTCGTATATATGTATCCTCCGAGAAAAAAAGACTTGCCGACTCTTCTAAACGCATAATGTTTGCATACAAACGCATTGTCCGTATTTCAAGTTTATGTACAAGACTATATCTTGTCAGTCACATCAATAAACTTTTGATTGCCATGTTAATCTTTGTTAGGAGTTGCACGATGATCGAATGATGGATCGCCTCAATCACGAGCGTGATCAACAGTCTCTGGCGCTCACCCATCTCCGCCGTAGTTACGAAGGGGCTATACATGCCATGAGGTACACTTTATCATCTTTTATTGTCATCATCTACTTGTTTACAGTATGCATGCCATGAGGTACACTTTATCATATTTTATTGTCATCATCTACTTGTTTACAGTATACATGCCATCAGGTACACTTTATCATCTTGTATTGTTATCATCTACTGGTTTACGGCAGAAGTTAAACAGCAGTAGGTCATTGTCATTTGTATTTGCATACGTGACATGTGACGGATATAGACACTGTCGATATTGTAAATAATATGTGTAAGGGCCTTGAAGCAGAGTGAATGACATCATTTGGTGGAACTCGTTGATGTCAGGCGTGTTATTGCAATGGCTAAGTATACACATTATTCCGAGTTAGCATCACGCCCGCACCGCTTTAGATTTAATTTCTTGGCGCTCCTGCACACACTTGGTAGTCCTCGGTGACCCAGTTCAAGGTTTATAATCGGGATTTTATTTTAGTATTTCCTTTCATCCACATCAGTTAGAGATGAAGACAACATGCACCAAACTGCAGGCCCATAGGTCGTGTTGCAGTGCCAGATGCTTCACTGCCACTGTTGTAGGCTGCCAGTCCCTTCCCACTGTTGTATGTCTGTTATGCCTTTGAGGTGGAGCGTTTAAATTCTGTACCCGTACAGTATGCCCCGTTGCAGTGGTACGCACATGCCTCGCACGCATTGCTTGGTAACCAAGTGGGTAGGTATGTCAATAGACCAACCGCCTTGTCAAACCCGAACCTCCACTCATTTTCACTGCCGCCGTTTGTATGTGCTTTGCTGTGCTTCTATGCGTCAGAGTGGAGAATCAGAAGTTGCTATTCGATATAGCGTTCCACGGAGACTACGAGAAGTTTAGAACTGACGTTGAGAAGGGTATCAACATGGGAGCGGCAGATGCTGAAGCCGACTACAGCGGTACGAGTCCAATGCCTAGTCAAATGCCTAGGCCGGCATGCGCTTGGAATGAGTTTGAATGGCAACATGCGATAGATGCACGTGTCGCGGGTGGGGGGGTGTGAGATGGGTGAAACGAATATTTTCTCGCACTAATTGACTGGTTGTTTGTTTATGTTTCGAATGCTCAAATCTGCACTATCGAATTGTGTGCGTAAACTTTTAGTTAGGACATTGAGTGTGAATTCTCCCAATGGATTGCTATCTACTTCTCGTACCAAAATGTGAAGTTACTAATTTGAATAGCCCAATGCGCACGGTTACAGATCCCTCGACGCATCGTGGACTTCAAGGGTTGATTGCACAGACAGTGGCCCATATTACGAAGGTACAGCTTAAGTACATGCAATCCAATACTACACATGTGTAACTTAAGTGCATGTAATCACATATTGCGTACGGATAAAGATGCACTTGTAGTCCCGCATTACGAAGGAATAACTTGTGTACATGCAATCTCGCTAGTCTATAGAATATCGTTGGTCAGAAGGTGGGTTGTGGCTACTGCACTCTGCGACCTCCAACCTTAGCCAACAATTTAGTTAATGAGGTTTTATCTGCGTGGATAAATGACTACTTACATGCAGGGTATCCCATACTTCAAATACTACAAATTATTACATCTCAAGTATAAGAGATGCTATCGCATGGTGTATATATATCCCTGTCACGAGTGTCTGCCTCTGGCCTTGGTTAACTATCCAGCTAAAAGTGCTTTATCTGCGTGGATAAATGAATACATGAACGCAGAGAAATCCAGTCTTTTGATACTACAATTATTCTTTTTCAAGTATCACATGGATGTTATCGCATGGTGTATATATATCCTTGTCACGGATGTGCTGCTTGCACATACTATAGTTCGCTACTTCATTGTATAGGCACCACTACATTGAATTAACACACACAAGCCCTCTATTCCATGAAGATGCGATTTTTGCGTAGATTCCACCGCGACACGACATATTATTTTCGTCGACGACTCTGTCTTAGATGTGATGGATTGTTTTCGTGTTTTTTTGCATACCACAATCTGCAATCCTTTCCACCGAGGTATTTCTTATGCACAAGAAGGTTGTCCGGCACTAAGGGAAGCGTTCTGTACGCTGCGAATCTGTTTAAGAACCTATTTTATGTCGCGATCCGATCTGATTCCAGTTCCGATTGTCTTCACAGCCACGAGTGTGTGCATGCAAGGCTGTGACATTTTTGAGATAACCTGCGTGGTTCACGGCCCTTATCCATATACATCCTTCGGACTTATTTCCTTGACTTGATTTTGCCTTAGACTGAACTGGGAAAGATGCAAGCCCAATTAGACGGCCGCTCGCTCGAATCACCACCCATAGACCAAGGAGGGGACTTCCCCATGTACGACCATGGACAGGTGAGGCGACTCGTACACCGTCAATACCAAACTCGCTAGCAGTCGGTCCCGGTGTGCGGTCTTGTGGACTTTGTTCTCAACCAACGACCTATGTCTGCATGTGTTGATATATGTATATATGTATTGATAAATGCATATGTATTGATATATGAATATATGTATTGATATTTGAATACATGTACTGATATATGTATATATGATATATGTATTGATATATGTATATATGTATATATGTATTGATATATGTATTTATATGTATTGATATATGTAGTCATGTATTGATATCTGAATATATGTATTGATATATATATATATATGTATATATTCATTGACATTTGTAGATATGTAGTGATATATGTATATATATTGATATATGTATATATGTATTGATATATGTATATGTCTATTGGTGTCTGCATGTATACATCGATGTACGTATATATGCCTGTATAGTAGAAGATATACTGGATGGCGCGGTAAGAAATGAAAAGCCAGAAAGCTGTCTCTGCACTTTCCGATGTTGAGCTGTGTATTGAACCATCTGGTGTTATATCCACATACATAGAGTACAGTCTGCAGGCACGTCTATGCCGTGCTAAGTGATCATTTTCACATTCAGCAGGTAGTATAATAAAACGTGATACACTCGATCGGGTATTTTTTTTCTCAAACAAATACTACAAATTAGCAACCATACATCACACTCGAATCATCGAGCAGCCTCCCGTTCAGGCGATTGTTCTTCCGCAAACTGTGTGTGTCTTCGTCTAATAGATTTTTGTACGAT